CTCTAACTGCTCTATTAGTGTATCAAATTTTCAAACCAGTTACATTCCTTAGTTTTGCCAGCTCAGACCTTCACAACTAGTACCTGCCAGGCTATATTCACAGGAGCAAATTATCTCCATTCCCTTTATGTTCTATTGGTATGGAGTAAGTTCTATTTAGACAACTTTTTCCCCAGAACTGTTACTTTGTGGAACACTCCAGAGAGAACATTTCTCTAACCACTACAATCTTAACCTCTTCAAATCAAAGGTTAACAAATATCTATGCTACATATTCTCATAATATGCACCTCTTACCACCCCCTTATAACAATCTTACTCAGTATCCTTCTACCTTGAGTAGCCCTTGTGCCATATATTAGGTGAATTAAAATAATAAAAAAAAATTTTTTTTAAATTTTGGAAGTCAACAAATTTCCCAGGAGGCCACAAGATACATCCTCTACTTAGCAATGCATTCTATTGTGAAAAGATAGATTGTCCTTCCTTTTATAGTTTTAGGCAGTGCTACATCGTGGACATCTTGTTAGACAAGATAGGAGAGATCCCCACAATCTAATATAATAAACTGACCATGCCATTTTTCTTATTAGAACTATATTTTTTTAAATACTGAAATCCAACCAATATAAATCATAAGAGCCACTCAAGGTAGAGGGATACTATTAAAATGGTAATGATGAATTAGGTGTGTATGATATGGAAGAAGTAGTAAGGAGTCAAGATTATGAAATTAAAGGGTATATTAATTTCCAAAATTATTTTTGAACAGTAAGTTGATTAAAAGTCTTGGAAAATACTTGTGTGACTGAAGAGTGATGAATTGCATGAATAAATATTTTGTCAAATGTTGGCAACTTTATTAGCGTTCTAGTATTAACTTATGATAGTAGGTAACTGCTTAACTTATCAAATTACTATAATTCTATTTTAGCACCGGTTTCTCTTTATATGGTGTTAAAATTTACACAAGTATTAACAGGATCACAGTGTCCGGAGGTCAAATATGGGAAGGTCAAAGAAGCTACACCTAAGTTTGAAAGATTATCTTACAAAGTTAGGTGTAGCTTCTTTGACCTTCCCATGTTTGACCTCGTGTGATCCTATTGATATTTTTTGCAATATGGAGTCAAACCAGAGGATAAACAGCCTCACTTTCTTGATTCTGTCAGAATGGTATATTCTTGGTGAACAGATAAAAAGAAAATGTTTCTTACCTGACCGAATACAGCATATGCCTATGGAAGGCCAAATTGATGAGCATAAAAATGAAGAAAATATCTAAAATTTTATTGAAATTAATTTTTGTTGATTTGTTTGTAGGAAAAAAACCCAGAAAAGTACTTTTTCCTACAGTTAAAACATACCAATACTCCCTTTACAGAGCATACAAATTGTTTCCTAATGACAAAACAAAAATGGTCGACCAAGGTATTTCTGAATTTTTGTAATTAAAGTGGTTAATATCAAGATGATAAATACTATCAAATAAATTGAAATATTCAAATTATTGCTCCCTGCCCAGTTTTGTGGAGACTATCAATTCATCAGGAGGTCTCTGGAAGTAAAATTTATTATAAAGCTCCCAACAAGTGGATATCATCTGAAACTTGGTAAGGACAGATAAGCTGAAAATCATCTTTTTTTATATATATATATATATATATATATATATATGGGTCTGCCTGTCTGTAGCAAGCAAGTGAGGAAAGGCTTTACACAGAGCCAATCTCACCATCTGATGTTCAAATATAGTGGTCCAAAAAGAACTGGTCTACACTATTGGCTGCTAACACAGTCACATGTATTATATTTCTTTCTCCTTGAAAGATGTTTTGAATGAAGACAGGGGTCTCTCACTTCCACTTGGCAAGATAATATAAGTCCCTAGCAAGACTAAAAACCTAAATCAGTGCTATTCATATTTGAGGATGGATGAAGCAATGACATTGCTTAAAATTGAACCGCAGTCATATCATCTCACATTAAGTGCTGATGTTAATAAAAATGTGTTCAATGCAATATGACAGAACTATAAACTATATATTAATAAATATACATATTTTTCCTTACTGGTAGCACGACTTGGTATTTCATGCACAATGCAATCTTAAGACTTAACTCGGCACTCGAAAGTTGTGTTGTACGTGAAACTCACTCTTGCTACTGGTGAACAAAAATATGCATATTTATGATGTATATAATGTCGTATAATACATCATAATCTTGAGAGACAGTTGGTTAAAGGTGTGCATTTTGATTACTTATAAATTTCACCTCCAAGATAAATCCATATGTAAGATTCTAGACAGTTTTAATATTTAATAATGTATTTAGTTAACAGGTTGAATTAATAGACTGATTAATAGATTTTGTCCTGTATCTTAATGCTATATTAAGAGTGGACACTGACAGTTTTTTTTTTTAGTTGTAAACATCATTAATTCCAAATGTAATCAATAGTGACAAGAAAACTGGACAGCAGATTGAAAATGGGATAAATGGTCATAGGCCATAATTCTCTATCCATTGGTGTCTTTCTCATCTGAGGTTTTACAATATTAGATGACTCATTTTGCATTGTATAATTGACCAACAGACTGTAATTAAGATAACAGTTCTTTTTATAGTGATTAAATATTGATTTGTAAGATGTTTTTCCTTTGTCACCTTGAAAGAAATTTACAAACTGTTTTGAAAAGTGGAAAGGATGTTAGAAAGAGGAAAACCCCAAGGGAAGTACTTTGAAGGGGGAATGAAGTGACTCCTGAGCTAGGCTGCTTTTTTATTAATATTAAATAGCTGGATACTTTCTAGACAGGATCCCTATAAATTAAAGCAGGATATCTTTGGATTTTTTTTAATCTCTAAAAAAAAACAAAAAAAAAATCAAAAGTGACACTGCATTTTGGAAATTAGCTTTATCTCTATTTTCATTGAACAATGATTTTGTTTATTTTTGAACAAGGTGGACAAATAACAAATTTCATAACTGTGTGTGTTTTTATATTTTTTATTTTTATTTTTTTGGTGGGTGGGGTTCACTAAAAAATCTAAAATATGTTGGCTTTATTTGAAATGTGTGTAATAAATTAAAGATAGCTGCATATTAACCAATTCCCTGACATAGACATGTATATACATTGTTACTGAAAATGTCTTCTTCAGACACAGATGAATAAACACATCAAAAACATAACATCCAAAAACCAGCTACTGATGTGTTTATATGTCAATCTTGATTCTTTTTATGCCCTTCTGAGCTTGAAACAAGTCCAATTGTCAACTCATGTCTGGTAGAGATGTTAGCCATGGTTTTGGATACTTCAAGGTGCCTCAGTTCATAGTCGATCTTGATTGTTTTTATGCTCTTCTGAGCTTGAAAGAAGTCCAATTCTCAACTCATATGTGGGGTAGAGGTGTTTCCCACCGCTTGGATACTTCAAGGTGCCTCAGTTCATAGTCGATCTTGATTCTTTTTATGCTCTTCTCAGCTTGAAACTAGTCCAATTGTCAACTCATATGTCTGGTAGAGGTGTTAGCCACTGCTTGGATACTTCAAGGTGCCTCAGTTTCTTAATTACTATATTAAAAACAAATAAAAAAAAAAATCTGTCTGAAAATGAATCTTTTTCCCAAAAATAATTGGTGGGAAAGCAGTTAAGTAAGCATCTCCTGGGCCAGGGCATACACACTTACTCAATGGAACAGCGCAAACAATAACTGAGCAGTATTAAATGAGACCACTAGAAATGGACAATGGAATGAAAACAATGCATCGCCATTGATTGAATATCAATTCAAAATTTCATGAAGGTTACCTGAATAACAACAAAGATGGTCTGAATGTAAATCTTGATAAATAAAAGAAAATAACTTTCATCAAAGCGAGAAAGAAAAGATAGATTTCACAAGAACATTCTAGATCTCAATTTAAATCTGGTTAATTATGACTAAAAACAACAGAATAAACAATGAATTATACTGGCTTTGATATAAACTACAAACCCTATAATAATTAATAGTAACTGGAAAGATATCAGACTAGAAGTTTCCTTACAAAATATGTCTCAGCTTTAAATAACACAGAAAGGGATTATATGCTGTGAAAAACAATTCAATCAATTATTGACCAATGATTTGAAATTTTGTTTATTTTTTAAAAACATAGACAATTTTTGTGTGCATGTGCTGTTTTAACTGAAGAGTGGTTTCAATAAAAATCTAAAATATATCAGTTTTCAAAATATTTTTATTTGAAATGTGTATAATGAATTAAACATAGCTGCATATTAAGTCGCTATCTCCTGGGCCAGGACATACACACTTACTCAATGGAAACAAGGTTTGATTTGGTTTGTTTACTGGCATATCAACTCCTTATGGGTCATTTAATGCTGAAATTTAATGTTCTTAGGAGTTTTTTTTTTTTTTCTTCCTTTTCAAATAATGTATTGTTGGTAATTTTTTTTTACTATGAAAATATATTGCTGCTATTGATATTGCAAAAGTGTATTTTTATACTTTCATAATGTTTTGACCCCAGTTTGAGGGTTCACTATAGCTGGAACTCCAACAGGTGCTGTCACCCTGGGTTAGAGTGGACCTGGAAATAAAAACAATTAAGGTAGTTCCACACTCTTCAAAACTTCCAATCTCCTGATCAGAGGCCTTGCTACTGGATGTAGTTTATCATACCCAGGACAAATGGAAACAGGGCAAATAACTGAGCAGTACTAAATATGAACAAGACAATATATCCTTAGACATTGACAATAGAAAAATAGCGATCTATCTCCATAGGTTAAATGAAGAGGTCAGTTTGAAATTTCTCTTAAAGTTATCCATTTTACTATTCTCACAATGGATAGAAAGGGGTGTAAGACAAGGATGTGTCTTCTCTCCAGATCTGTTCAACCTTTGTGAGGCTATCCCAAGAGAGCTGGAGACCTTACCATGTCTTATTATCAGGGGTGCAATCTTAACAACATAAGCTTATTGCCATATCACATTGAAACACCAGTTTTTGTATGATCACCAAAGTTAAGCACTGTCAAGCCTGGTTAGTACCTAGATGGGTGACCCATTGGGAATACCAGGTGCGGTAAGCTTGGATTTCTGGGTAGTGTAATGTATAACAGTTCGGAATTGGAAATTAGAGAGCAAAGTTCCAATTCCACTCGGATTCTTTATATTCACTTATGCACGAATATTCTTGAGAAAGGTATGAAACCACCTCTTCTCTCTCCTGCTATAGGTTAATTAGTTGGACTTATATCAGTAAATCATTATTATCAAAAAATTCTTACAATCTAAAATTGTTTTTTGGCTTTAAATAACCTGCAAAAAGTTGATAATCCATAAAAAAAAAACAACTAATCAACAGTATAAGATACACAGATGACACTGTGTTGATGGCTGACACAGGAAATTACAGGACCTCCAAGACATGGTAGTAAAGGAAAGATGAAAAAAAGAGAAAAGGCTAAAGATAAGAACTACAAATTGGAGATGTCAACATTAAGGAAGTACAGAAGCATAAATATCTGTGAAGTGTTTTAACAGAGGATGGAAAATGCAACACCAAAGTCTAAATGTGTATCAGATTAGTTAAAAATGCATTCCAAAGGCTAAACAAAGTACTGTGGAACCTCAGTTTATGAATTTAATTTGTTTCTGAAGACCATTTATAATCTGAAACTAATTTTCCAATAGGAATCAATGTAAAATGGATTAATCTGTTCTTGTCCCAAGATGATTGCTTATTTAAATGTTAACAACATTTAAATAAGCAATCATCACACAAGTTTATACACAAAGCTAATGAAAATCATATAATACATAAAAATAATGAAAATCATATGTCAAAATAAATATAAATAAACCCAATAGTAAACAGATAAAATATAGACGAATACTTCATTTTTAGTGTACTTGCATATAGGAAAGTTGATGGCGTAAGGGGAAGGAAAGGGATGTTATTGTTTGGAAAAGGGAAGGAAGGTCATGATCGTCTCTTTATTTATAAGAATAACATAGATCGTTAATTTTTGCCATATGAAATTGAGTTGGAAGAGACAATATCATCAGCAATTGCTTTTCTCTTAACTTTTCTTTTTCCTTTACTCGTATCACTGCTAGCTTTCTTTGGAGGCATGACTGAGGACTAATAAAGAGAAAAAAAAAGGCTCAGTATCATAAAATTGAGAAAGAAAAGCACAGCACAACACACAAATGTATACAACACTGATCGACTAAAAAATAATTCCATTCAGGTTAACTCGGTTCAGGTCAGTTCGGCAATGTTGTTCGAGAACCGAGGCATTTTAACCTTGAATAAAACTGATTTGTTTGAGACGTTTGAGAACCAAGGTTACATTGTACTAAGAAACAAGAAAATTTGGTTAGAAACAAAGAAAAGATTGCTGAATTGCTATGTGATATCAATCCTCATAGTGTAGTGAATGGTGGACAATCTCTTCATAGATAAGCGGCAACAGAAATGTGGTTCTACAGAAGTTTACTGAGAATGCCATGCAACAAGGAAGTCTTAAATAAAAAGGTGACAAAAGAACACCTACTCAGAATCAGAAAGAGATAGGTGAAATTTCTTGAACTCGTAATGAAGGAGTGGTTGGATAATTCTCACAAGGCAAGAGAGATAGGGGAAGGCAGCTGGCCACCTACCTGATATGCTTGTGTTAATGAATAGTGGAATGGAGATGGGTCTTGGCAAAGGGAGACAGGCTGCTATGGTTCGTGTCTTGAAGAGACACAGCACATAGATCTTGCAGTACAGCTTCTTACATGATCTTGAGCTGGAGCATAAATTTTGTCCCAAAAATTAAAGTACAGCCTGCAAGAAATTTAATTTGGTCACTCTTCTCACTATTGAGAAGCATTCCTGTCCAATTGACAAGTAGTTTATCTGATAACACTTTTTTTTTTTCTAAGCCTACTGGACTTACAAATAATCAGGTTCAAATTCATATTTCATTTTTTGTGTTTCTTGTAAGATTATACAGGGTGTTTCAAAAGTCTGTCACATTCTAAGAACTCTTATATACAAATGGTAGCATGACTGAACTGGTGGCTTTTAAAAGCTAAAAGTCTCAAGTTATCTTCTGTTAATTTAATTTGAATTCAATTAAATTTAATTTTTGAACACCACTCTGAAGATGGGTTGGATGTTTTGAACAGACTGATTGCATGTTTCTGCGATAGCCACCTAAATCTCCAGACCTGATACCATGTGACTTCTTCCTCTGGGGGTATGTGAAAGGACTTGTGTATGTACCTCCTCTTCCCAGAGACATGGATGATCTGAAGACGTGAATAACTGAAGGCTTGACAACCATCGACAACACTATGATCGGTCGCGTTTGGCTAGAATTGGATTATTGTTTGGATGCTTGTCGTGTAACCCACAACATCACATTGAACAACTGTATAAACCTGTATAGAAACATGAAAATATTAGCTATCAGGAAATATAGATTGTGCTTTGATATCCTCAATAGTTATTAAGATATATAGGTGTTGTAATGTTACAGACTTTTGAAACACCCTGTATTGCATATATTTAAACTTTTTCAAACATGTTTTTCTGCTCCTGATCAGCATTTAAATTTGTCATGCTTGATGAAGAATGTTGTAGTCTGTTTATTTGCCACTGTTGCTATGACTTGGAATTTGATGTTTTGCTACGCATGTCATGTTTTGCTCTATTTGCTTTGTATACAATGTAAGTAGAAAATATAACTTTTGAACATGAACAACTTTTATTAAATATCAATTCATTGTTGTACTGGGATTTCATTTTTATTTTTTTTTTCCTTGACCTCTATATTTCTGATGGAAATTGAGATAACTTTTTTTTTTTTTTAAATTAAAATTAACCTTGTACAAGACTAGTGAGCCATTCAAGGTAGAGGGCTACTATTAAAATAGTTATGATGAATGAGATGATTTAGATAGATTGAAAGGAGAATGAGCAAAGAAGAAAATCAGCTTTGTCATCATTTAGTTATGCAGTTTCAAACTATTGGGACTCTGTCATCTAATAATTAGCTACATTTTTTAAAACAAGTGGGCCTTTTAGACTGCAACAGTGACTTTTGAAGTTATTGGTTGGTTTTGTAACCCAAAAGTTGTTTTGTAGCTCTTTTGAACTTTTTTTGCCATTTTTAGTTTTAAAAATAAGTATTCTTCAATGAATATATTTGCAGAGTTTGTGCTAAATAGCATAAATTATTTACATTATTTAGATTTGAACTATTGTCCTCGTTTTTGTTGTTACCATATTTCAGCTGTTGTGTCCTCCTGCCTTCATCAGGTATATATCAATCCAAGTAACCTACAAGTCTGCAAAAGAGAAAAATTTCAGTGAGTGCTTGACAGCAGCAGCATTTATCAGCAGGCAGGCAGGTTAGGTTTAAGGCTCCAAGTTTTCTAGTAGATTAAAGCATTAGTTTGTGAATTTGGTGATATAGTAATTATGAATTGGAAACATGACATGCAATAACTGACAAGATATTGTGGAACAGGAACGGTCTACTCCTAGTAGATTAAATAAAGGGTTCTGTTTGGAATTAAGGTTACCTGGATAGATATACACCTGATGGAGTCTGAATGTAAATAGTGTAAATAAAAAACAAAAAACAAACAAATGAAACAAGAATCAATCAACATCCCAGTGATGAAACTGTCAAAGAAGATTCACAGGGTAAAGTGAATTTATGCCTTCCTTGGAAAATAATTATGCAAAGTAGACACTAGCAACCTCAACCAGAATTTAGACCCTTCTATGCTAATGGCATACATATACAAAATATCACTTTTCATTCCTATAAAAAAAAATAAAACAAATTCTGTATATTTGAATTATCAGACCTTATACTTTAAAATGTCTATACCATCTGTCTATGGCTTTTAAATGTATTTATATATGCAGTGATTTATTTACTTTTTCACACCTGTTACACTTTTTGGACTTTTCTGTGATGCAGCATGTCCTAGATGAAGTGGCATCAGTTGAGTCAGCACTAATTGTAAATAACCTCCTCCCTTCTTGATTTACTGTTACATTTACTTTTATTATATTGGTCTTGTGTGGGAGAAAATTATATACAAATTTGTACATGTCAGAATAATGTTATGAAAATTAATGACAAAGTTGAAGAAAATCTTTTTCAGCTAATACGTTTCATCCAGTAGGAATTTGTCAGATTTAACTAATGTTTTATGTTGATGGAACCATACACAAGTATGAACGGGTGGGTGTGCTGAAATTTTAAACTTTTAAATTTAATGTTTACTCAGCTAATTTTATTTAGTTTCTTTTTATTTTTGTTTATATTTTTTTTTATCTCTCTTGTTATTAAGTATAAGGGGAAATGTAAGAACCTGGACACAACTTTAGTGTGGATGTTCTAGTGATTAAAGCACTTTCTCTACAGTTTCATCTTAGTAAATTGATTTCTCTATTAACTAAAGTTGCATTTTTTTTTTTTTTAAATTGATTTAATTTTTTTTTTCCACTTGGTCATTTAAACAAAATGTTTAAAATTTCAGTATCTGCTCTTTCACATGCCTGTATAGTTACATCAACATAAATGTCATTTTAGTTAAGCAACATCAAACCTAGTCAGTACCTAGATGGGTAACCGTTTGGGAATACCAGGTACAATAATCTTGGATGTACAGGTGGTGTAATGTATAACAACGTGGAATTGGAAATCTGAGATCATGTTTCAATTCCAATAGAGTTTATATTTGTTTACACACCCTAGGGAAAGGTATGTCACCATTTCTTCTCGCTCCAGCTATGGGTTAATAGGACTTTTATCACTAAATTATAATTATCTACAAAAAATTCTTATCTAAAAATATCTTCAGACCTTAAATAATTTTAAAATAGTTGATAAGCTGTAAAGGAAAAAAAATCAGTTGGTTTAGTCTAATGAAGTCCTAAAGGATGAAACATCATGCAATAAAATTTTTTTCCACTTTGTCATTAATTTTCCTAACTTTTGTCTAGTGTGTGTCCTGTCTAGTGTTTATAGAATAGTCCTACATCTATCTTTGCAGGTTCGTTGATATGCGTAATTTCCTCTTTTTACCAAGCTTACCTGGCATAATTTGTCTGTCTCTAGACTGTTGTGTGTTTCAAACATCAAAGGATCAAAAGACATGTCAAGGCTGACTCCAGTTGTGTTATTCTTTTCGAGACGTTTTCAAAACAATTTGAACATTCTTTTCTGAATGAAAACCGGGTACTGTAAGCAACTTCCTACAATCCAAAATAGCTTTTGGCTTTAAAAGCCATAAAATAAATAAATAAATCAATCAATCAACCAAATTTCTAGGGACACAACTTAATTGGAAGAATCAAAGGCTTTAACATCTGACAGAACGAACTTGTCTAATTGGTATCTTTTCTATGTCATGTCTTATGATATAGGTAATCATGGCTCTTCACAACTTCCTATTCTTTAGCTCCTTCCCTGTTCTGTTATCTGTTTATACAAGTTTGTTACAAAATTGACTCACTGGATTCTTCTGCTCATCTTATCTTTAATGTACTGTGAGTGTCAAATTCTAGCTTTTTTCCTTATTATACCCGAGTAATTTCAACTTTCTGATTCTATATATGTGTTTTTTTTTTGTTTTCATATTCTTTAAAACCTCTTCATTGCTCATGGTATTCTCAGCATCCTTCTGCAGGACTATGTCTCCTCTTGCTTTGTCTCCTCTTCATCAACTTCATCCAGAATCTATCTTACATATAAGTCTACCATTTGTTCTTGCTTTGAATATTACTGCTATATCTGGTCTGGTTCTCCTAAAATATATTTGGAGATAAAATCCAAAGAAGTAAAAAATGTTATTGATCCTAACAAAAGCATCTCAGTTTCAATCCCTTTTCCATCACTGTAATGTAGCTTCTCTGTGCTTTTTCTATAAATAGTTTTCATGGTAATTGTTCTGATGAACATTCCTCTATGGTATCTAGACTTTATGAATTTAAGCCACGAACTAGATTGGTGGCAAGATCTAATCATTTTACAGTTGAAATGGCTTGATGTAATCATAAGTTCTATGTTATTTGGTTTCTTTTTATATCACACTTCTTATTTATGGAACACTCTTCTGGTTTCTTGCTTCCCCAGTCAACTTTGATTTTGAAAAAATTTAAATGTAATGTCAATCATTATGTTCTGTCTTCTTCAGTCCTGTTCTTTTATTGTTGTCTCTCCTTAATAGTAATTTTTCTTTTATTCTCTCACACTCCATAACCCTTTTGCATCTTAGTGGTTTTATCACCTTGCTTGGGGGTGAAATGATAAAAAAAAAAAAAAAAAAAAAAAAAAAAAAATTGTCCAGCATTCACTGCCATATCAAAGGATTGATATTATGTAGAAATTCAACATGCTTTTATTTCTTAGATTGCTGAACCATTAAATAATATCAATCCTCCTATATGGCAGTGATACCTCGCTATTTTAGAACCCAATGAAAATGTTAGTGATTCTCTTGATGGCAGCTCCAATTTACAGTTGTTTCAATTTTATCCCTTGAATTAATAGTTGTTGGTTATTTTATTATCTGCTTCAGGGTTATTTTCTGACCAAACATTTAATTCAATATGGAGTCTTTTGAGATTTCTCATTTTCTCTTAGATAATTAGGACAAGATTTTGCCCTCAGATGTCAAAAGAATGTTTTCCTTTCTTTCAAGTTGTCATATTGTTCACATTATATATCTCTTTGTCAAATCTGTTGGTATATTTATAACCATATTTCAAGAAGTTATAGATTATGAAAGGAAGCTGTCATTAAATAATTGGATTTGCATATCTTCTAACATAATTGAAGTGTTCAGTGATGAAAATTAATTACTTGATTTTAGGGTGAGACTAGATAAGTGACTGATTTAGTTTAAAATTAGAACCTATTTAAGATTTTACTTTCAATATAGTAGTTGAAAGGATTGCAGAGTTTACATTGACTCTGTGAGCCTGTTGGCCTTGTAGACATTTGGCATTCCTTGGCCAAGCAGCCAGTGCTCAGTCAGTTATATGCCATGTACAATACATACGTAGGCGATTATGCATCTTTTGATACATGACTGACAAGGCAGATTTTTTTCCTGCAGTAGGTTGCCATTTCTTTTTATGGTAGACAAATTGCCATCCAGAGCTATAGAACCCAGTCTGTCCTGCTATTTACCCATAGCTGGAGGGAGAAGAGGATTCATACCTTTCTCAAGGTATTAGCACATGTGAATATAATGGATTTGGCTGGAATTCGAACTCGGCTATCTGATTCCTCAATCTGAGCCGCTATCCATTACTCCACTGTGCCTCACAGCCAGTACTGCTAAAGTTATACTTTTCTACACTATCTAGCTGGTATCAAAGTGTAGTAGCTGTCCTGATCTTTCATGGTAATTGTAATATTGGCCATTTCCTTATAAGTAAACATTCATCATCCATTAAAAGAAAAGCCAGTGCTATTGTCTGTTGAAATTTACCAAATCTTTCCATTAAAACAAGTTTTTCAGGAAAATAGGTTTGTCAAGACCAGCAACAGTTGTTATTCTTTCCAGTATTGATGGGGGCTTGCTTCCCTCATCTTTTGATTTGAAGTAGTGTAGAACATTAACACCTTCATTATGCCATTATTTTCTTTAGAGTTATATATGCTACCCATTTTAGTCATTGCCATTATTGAAAATCCTCAAATGATGTTGTTTCTATGATTTGGTACAGTTTTTTTATTTGTGATTCTTTAGCTCCAGTCCATAAGGTTCAAAGAAGAATGGTCTTCATTTACTCAAAGCCATTTTTAAATATTGCCATGAGAAAGTGGTTGTATACAGCTGACAGTTTAGATATTTTGAAACAAGTTTGGTGCAATGTATAGCATTCATATGAAAGTCTCAACACACTTGCATCTGGCAACTTTCTCTGCCAATTCCCAACAAGATGGTATCTTATCAGATTTCTTCAATTTAAATTGGGATTAAATAATTTATAATTTTTTCCCCAAATTCATATCTATTTTTGGTCTGAGGATAATATCCAATTCTTCTTTAGGCTTTTTGTAAAGATTAATTTTGACTTTGTTTTGAAAACAGAAAACTAATTTCAAATTTGCAAGAGTGTGCTGAAGTTTTCAGTTCAACACACTTCCTAAAAAAAATCTGAAACCTGGGCAATGGTCTTTTCAGCAGCTATCAGATGTATCCTCAAATTTAGAAAGCCACGGCAGATTGCAGACAGGAACCTTCTATTTGAGTTCTTATGAAAGTAGGTATTCTATGAATATACTTGCAGAATTTTGTTTGTGATGAAATAAATTCTCATCACTGAAGTTGTTCATTTGAGGTCCCAGACTGTACACCTCAACTTTCCTTGCAGTGAAAATTACTACTACTACTTAAATGGTTACTATTATTACAATAGCAAGTTCAGTCATTTCTGACTGCTCTTAAATGCGGACTGAGGTCAGACTAAGGTAAGTTTTATAATTTGTATTGAAGATGGTAGAGAGCATCTGAAGAATTATCCAATTCTCCTCAAATCAATAAAGAATTGTCAAAATATTTCATGCTTTCATATGCCTGTCATCATTACAGATTTTATATATATATATATATGAGGCACAGTGGAGTAGTGGTGTTATGGAGTGATTTCACAGTGGAGGCTTGTATTTGTACTAAGTCGGTCCTAAAATAGGTTCGACATACAAAACGTTAGGAACTTGATATAATAGGTATAACGCAGAAAAATCTAGTTGTGGTCGCTGATACTTTAGTATCCAACTAACGGTCGTCCGGCATCGACTGACTGACCAACTCACTGAGTGACTCATTACTCTTACTACTCCTACTTATTATAGGTGGGAGAGTTTATTAACTATAGAATAGGTGTGTTCCACTATAACAAGCAGCTCGGATTGAGGAATCGGAGAGCAGAGTTTGAATTCTAGTCCAATCCATTACATTCACTTACATGTTAATACCCTTGGGAAAGGTATTAATCCTCTTCTCCTTCCAGCTATCAAATCATATGTGCTGATGTTTGGCTGTCTGTTCCTAGGAATTAAGCTACTTGACCCTCATACATTGAATATGATCCACCACTATATATATATATATATAGATATGATTATTTTCTGTGAAAACGGAATGGCCTACTTGAAACAGAAATTACAATTTTGAGATGGAAACTATTTTTCTAACAATTAGATTTGTCAACTGCTATTTTAATTTGTTACTGTTTGCCTTTCCTAACTCTCTTGTCTGACAGACATCAAAGGATAAAATTGGTAATGTTTTAATACATTAACCTACTGTCTCACTACAGTTTACAATAATAAGGAACCAAGTTTTACAAAGTTGGCTTGATTTAATAAAAAAAAGCAAAGAAAAAAAAAGATGGTGCTAGTGTGGAGAAAAGAGGAACAAAATTTGGTCTTTTTGTTTTATCCTTTTTTTTTTTTTTTTTTTTTTCTTATGACACATGATAATGGTGGTAAGTAAATAGTCTTTGGTGTTTAACATGTAAAGTAATGAAAATATGAATTTAACATCCTTTGGTAAGGAATGTGTTAGTTTCATTAGACACAGGTTTTGATTCTGGGTAACATCTTTCTCCTTACCTCATGACAGCAAGTCTGAACTAATCAGCTACTTGTTAAAACCACTCCATTATGCTTTTATTGGTTATAACAAGACAATGTCAACAGTACTTGTTTATAAGTTGTTGTTCAGGAAACTTGTATAAATACTGTTACTTTGAAATCACAATACAGTTCTTTTTATCCTTTTTTTTCTTTCATTCCCATTCATCATTCAATTTTTGGTCAAACTAAATTTTGTTTTTTTCAGTAAAAAAAAAAATTACTGAAATTGCAATTTGGCAGGTTTCCTTTTTGTGTGTCTTGGGGATTTAAGGCTATCTAAATTTTTTTTTCTTTGTCTATTTTGAACATTTTTAGAATTGTGAGTTTCTTAATCTGTCACAATTTGTATCTTTTTATGGGGAAGAATTTCAAGCTTGACAGAATTGGTCTCTTCAGTTGAATGAGATGTTTCAGAACTATTTCTTTTTTTTTTTTTTTTTTTGTTTTTTTTTTTTTTTTTAAAGTTAAGATAAACTTTACAGTTCCCTCTCTGATACTTGAGTGTTTCATAATGTCTCTGTTGATACTCCTTTGACTTTTTGAACAAGCCTCATAACCACTTTGTTTTTATTGCTATTTTTATACTTTTAGTCAATAAGCCATTTACTTTAGAATTTCAATTTAAACCAGCTGTTGTATTTTTTCTTTACCTACCTTTTTCACGTATTTTCACAGATTGACTACCCCATGTTAAAATGCTTTTGCTGCATTTATAGTGTGGTGTTTATATATATATATATATATGCAATATAAAGGCCACAGATGGAGGTCACATTTTAGTTTCTGTTTGTGGTAGTTTACAGTTGTCATCGGCTTAAGAAATGTAGACTTTTGTATAAAGTATATGAAAAGTAATGTTTTTGTTTATTAAAATTTTGACATTGTGGATCATATCTTTTAACACAAGTTTTGGCTTCCTTTAATATTTTCTAATACCCACACCAAAATACATATTTTCATTTATTTAACTTTTAACAAAATGTCTTAGAAATTTTGGGAGAAAAGTTAACTCTTTGAAAATCCTTAATATTCAAACATTTTGAAATAGGCCTCCAGTTCTGGTCCTTAGCTACATCATGAGTAGATATTTAGCATAGAACGCTATGATTCATAGCAATGTCAATCACCAAAAGTAAACTGGGGCAGGAACAGCCATGTGACAGTCACGATGTCAGAAGCTGCCAGATTTAAGCCTGGGGTATTCTACTCCATATACATATGGCAATTACAGCTAAATGTTTAAGATAAATCTAACAATTATAAATATATAGGAAAAAAAGATAAAATTAACTGAAAGCTGATTGACTTCAGCTTGCAGATTTTGGCATCATACATTGCAATTGCAGCTAAATGTTTAAAATATATCTACAAATGTAACTGCATAACAATAAACATATATATATATATAGAAATATTGAATTATTTTAAATTGATTTAAAAAATTGAAAAATAACCATATTTTAAATCAATTAATTTATAATATTAATGCTCTGTAAATTTACATTGAGCACTATTTTGTAAAAATAAAATATCTATAAGAAACACGGATTTTTATATCTTACTGTTCTTTCTTTTTTAATTAAATATATATATATATATATATATATATAAAATGTCATGAATTGTCTCGGATTTGAAAAAGGTTAAATCATTTTGCTGCCCTGTTAAAATTATAGCACACTTTTCTTTAATGCTTTTGAATGCTTACTACACCCTTGAGTTTACAGTGCTCATTACCCACATTAGGAATCCCTGATCTAAACTGTTTTCCACACAATACTTAAGCCATTTTTAATATATTTTGTCTTGCGCCTTTCTCCTCTTGTAATGTCGATGAGGTTCTGAAAGATACTGAGAAATTCCATGTAATAATTTATGAAAGAAAAATGAAACCTTTGTAATGAACTTTCAAATGTATTATAGAAATCAGGATGGATATCTTTAAAGCCTTTTGGTTGAGGTATTTTCATTTTCTGTTCAGTGTATGTCACTTGATTCATTAACTTTATTTCAGCCTCTTTAATCTCTGATAATATCTCTTGGATAGAGGATGTCAGAAGCTGTAAGGATAATTAAACTCTACCATTTGACATTGTCTTTTATTTATAAGAAACAACTCTGTGTGTGTTTACTTTTAAAGTAATGTTAATATCAAAATTATTGTCTTGGAGTCAAGAATGGGGACAATCTACCGTACTGGCATTCAGTGTTCACTCGATGGCTGGATTCTTGTTTTCCAATATTTGTATCCATTTTCACAGACTAACAATCAGCATATGTAATTATTAATCATTCATAGTATAGTTTCAAGTCAATAGGCACAAAGAATTAAAGACTGTATTGCTTGTTTGGTTCTCACTTGTCATATTTTAAAGCAATAGATACACTTTAATGGAATTACTATTTGTTTAAGCATGTATTTCTGTTTCATTGTGATGATTTGAGTTATAGTCAGTCTTATCGTATTTTTCTTTGTTGTCCCCAATACAAGGCTTAAGAGCCACTGAATGATTGAAGAAGCATCTTCATAGGAATCTGTTCCATGAAACTGTTCTTTGAAAAAAAAACATTATTCTCAAAAAATTACTAATGATCCCAGGGGGAATACAATCCCAAATATGTTTCAGCTTGAAATAATCCACAATAGGTTGATAAGCCATAAAAAAAAATCACTCTCAATCTTTGGAGGAACCTGTGTGAATGGCACTTCCTTCTAACCAATGGAAAATAAAGGAAATGAGGATGATTCAACTCTGTATATATGGCATGGCAGGTCTTATCTGTGAAGGTCTGAACTGGTGGGACTAAAGAATGTAGCTTATCACATTTGACATGAAAATAGCAATAAAGTAGTGGAAGGTTTACAACATTTCATCTGTAAGAAAGAGGTTGTAGAAAGGAAAATAATTCATTATCCATAAAGTTACATTGAAAACATGAATTCTGACAAAGCTGGAAAGTGAGGCTTGGGCAACTTCTGCTTAAATATATCAGCAAGTTTACCTGGAAAGAACAATACTTATTAATAAGAGTTGAAATTAATGCATACAAGATTTTGCAGCTCGAACACCACTCCTTCATAGTCAACATGCCTTGTTTTATAATAAAATATATTTAAATGCTTATATTTGTTAGTTTTCTTTTGATGTTTTTAATTTTAATAATAAATCAGAATTCTTTATTACACGTGACAATAATTGTATAAGTAAAATGTTGAAATTTTTCCAGTAGAAAAATTTTACCAATGAAATTACGATATTTTTTTTTAATCATATATGTTAGACAAATTCCAAACACTTAAATTACTATAATCATAAAATACTATCAGAAAAAAAATTGTTTTGTAAATAATTAAATAAAATGCACACATAAAAACGCTAATACTTTGCTTTGCCTGACTAGAATCTCATAAGTAGACTTAGAGCAGAAGGGTGTGTTGTAATGACAAGCATGCACCCTCAGCTAGAAAATGCCTCAACTTAATGGGAACTTAATTGTTTAGGTAGAATAAAATCTTGATAAATTTTCACAATTCAATTCTGTATTGCTTTATAGAAGAGAATTGGATGATACGACAGATGCTCTCTACTGACCTTTACAAAAGCATTTATAAAACTTAATTTAGTTAGGCTTTGGGCCACATTTACAAGCAGCCAAGAAGAATTGAACTTGTTACACTAGCAATAAAAATCTTTGTTCTGTGGTAGACACATGATGCTTGCAGATATTTGTTTCTTTGTCCCTTAATGTTAGATTGATTAGCTGATCTGATTGGTAATTTTGTGAGGCTGATTTTTAAATGCTTATACACATCAGCTTGTTTACATTATCATGGCTTTTAATTTCAATTTGGTTTAGATTCTCTTTTTGTAAACATGTGGCCTTCTCTCAGCTTTCCACCAACCAGCCAATAACTACCTCACATTGCCTCTGTTCTTGTTGATGTTGGTATATACCAAGAATCGGGAAGGATCAATTGAAAGATTACAAAGAAATTAAGGATTAAAATAAATACCACTGTGAGAAATGAGGATTCAACTTTTTGTTTTCAATATATTTTAGGTGTTTATTCAGGGCTTTACTTGCTCAGTCTGGGTGGATAGATAGGTGGCACTTGGGACAGTTTCTGACATGTCAGACTAACAGATCCAGTCTTTGATTCTTCCTCCTTCCAACTCTTTGCACATTTCAGTATCAAAATACATGGTTGATAATGCAAACAGGTGGCAACTGAATTACCATACATGGTTGATAACATAAACAGGTGGCATCTAAACTATCAACATATGATGTGTGTGTGTGTGTGGAGAGAGGAGATATAGACAGTCCAGGACTGACTACTTCAATCCCAACCAGAACTTAATATAGACATGTAGCTGGAAATTATCAATGTCCAGTTTTGATGTCACTTGACTCCCAAAGTTTTCAATTGTCCCATTTCAATCAAGTGGATACTGCATAAAAGAATTTATCCACCAGCCTTAAAACACAAAATGCTTGATCAAGATAAAGTCACTCTTCATCCCCACTTTTATGTGGGTGTCCCAATCATAGTGTCACATTTTTACTTTCTTTTTTAATTAACATTCAATTACCTTGCTGGTTGTGTGTGTGTGTGTGTTGGATGGCAACTAGGAATAAACAACTGGAATGCAGAATTCAAATTTCAATCAAGTTCATTATATTCACTTATCTTCTCTAGATATCAGCATAAATTGTGCTTCTTACACTGTAACCCTCTATCTCAAGTGGCTCTCAAACCTTGTACAGAGTGAACATCATTGTAAAAAAATAAAAAAAATGTGGGAAAGGTATTGATACATCATTTCTCTCTTCCAGATGGGTTAATTAGTAAGACTTTTATCTGGAAAACCATTACCTCAATTTATCTATTTATAAGCAAAAAAAAAGAAATTCTTACAATCCAAACTATATTTAGGATTTAAGTAACCCACAAATGGTTATGGCATAAAAAAGACAACAAAATAACCAATCTGACTGGCTTCTTTTTGGCTCTCCAGAGATATGTAGAACATAAATCTTATCCTTGTTTTGAAATCCTTCGGCTGTAGCACTCTTAAAGGTTGCATGAAATATGCACATACATGTGAGATTTAAATATTATATTCCTTATCAATTTTGGATTTCATAGAAGAATACTTGAATAATTTGGTTATATCAGCAACTCTTCAACTGATTTTATTGATACCCTGTATTGAAGCAATTCACTGCCAATTTTAGCCAATGTCTGTCAATAATGTTGAATTATTCAAAACTGGTTTCATGCTTGCCTTTTCATTCCAAATGGCAGTAAGTTCAAAGCAGGAAAATTACAGCAAGTCATTTCTCTTATAATTTTGTAATGAGTCAGCATTTATTTTTTTCCTTCTGATATGTTGACAAAATAAGGAAATGTTTAGTTTCTGGAATGTAAATGCAGACTTATGCAGAATTGATTTCATAGTTAATTTCTTATTGTGGTTTGAACCAGAATGTTTTGAGAACACACACACACACACACACACACAAATGCCATGGCTTGTCTCAGAGTTGAAAAGGTTAAATCATTTTAATGTCCTGTTAAAAATTATAGCACTTCTCTTTAATGCCTTTGAATGCTTACTACCCACTTGAGTTTACAGTGCTCATTACCCATATTAAGAATCATTGATTTAAACTGTTTTCCACACAGTACTTAAGCCTTTTTCAATATATTTTGTCTTGCACAATTCTCTTATAATGTCTGAGTTTCTGAAAGATACTGAGAAATTCCATGTAATAATTTCTGAAAGAAAAATGAAACCTTTGTAGAGATCAGGATGGATATTTTAATGTCTCTTTCTTGACAACATCTACTGCTATCTTTAAAGCCTTTTGGTTGAGGTATTTTCATTTTCTGTTCAGTGTATGTCACTTGATTCATTAACTTTTCAGATATCCAAGTATCCTTTATTTCAGCATCTTTAATCTCTGATAATATCTCTTGGATAGAGGATGTCAGAAGCTGTAAGGATAATTGAACTCTGCCATTTGGTATTGTCTTTTATTTATAAGAATCAATTTGTGTGTTTACTTTTAAAGTAAGGTTAATATCAAAATTATTGTCTTGGAGACAATCTGCCATACTGGCATTCCATGCTCATCCCATGACTGGATTCTTGTGTCCCCTCATTTCTATCAAGTTTAACAGAACAACAATCAGTACATATGATTATTAATTATTATAGTATACTTTCAATTCAATAGGTATAAGGAATTAAAGATTGTATTCCTTGTTTGGTCCTCACTTGTCAAATTTTAAAGCAATACACACATTTTAATGGAATTACTATTTGTTTAAGCATATATTTCTGTTTCATTGTGATGATTTGAGTTATAGCCAGTCCTGTTGTATTTTTCTTAAATTTTAATGCATAATAATAAATATTCAAAATTCAAACCATTTTAGCAGTTATTTTTTCTTCCAATCAGTTACAGCAGTGGATATTATAGATTTTAGTAGCATGGATATGTGCCATAACCTAACCCAATAAGTTATCATGCATTCAATGTGACAATATTTACAATGACTAGACTTAGTATATTTATTAATGGAGGTTCATAATTTGTATGCATATTTAATGATATTAAAAAAAAAACATTACTCGTTTTCTTTTTCAGATGTACCCTATGGTATCCATCAGTCAATACCGAGGAAGCAGTTACAGCTCGAACAAGGCAGGTGGAGGGAGTAGCAGCTAATATAGCCACACCTGAAGATAGCAACCAAAAAGTAAGTGTTCTAACATGTTTGATGAAAGGGATAAATGCTGTCAGTTAATTGAATGACAAGCCATTTTGGACAAAGCAATTTAGGAGGTTGTTTCTCTGTCACTTTCTCTCTTCTCTGTATATAATAAAAACATGCTCTAGTTTTGATGTGCTGATTTAAGATCCAATAATGCCTTTGATATATAAGACATTATTGCATTTTAAATTGCCCCACCAAAACTTCTATGATTACCTGTCCTACAGACAGAGGTTTTTGGCTAGTACTAATAAAGTCATATTGAGCATCCTGTTCAAAATTATATCACTGACCCAAACATATAAACAATAATCCTTACACCAAAACACATTATTGCAGATATACCTCACATCTCCATGAAGTCCTAACTAGTCCATATATGTACAATTTGATTGGAACAATTACCATAAAATGTTTATAGAAAAGGCACAGGGAAGCTGTTACAGCAGTGGGAAAGTGGCTGAAGCCAGATCAGTACTAATAACATTGCAGATTAATAATGAAATTCTTGTTACATTCTTTCTATGCATTTTCAGTTTATTACAAATCTATTTCGGAGAAAAATGCAGTCCGTTGTGTTGATAAGAATTCATGAAAATGACCAGTTCTCTGGAAAGTCGTCAAGTGAGTTTCTTCCCAAAGCTTAGAATTAAATGATTTCATTTCCTCTTTATTGGACACATAATTAAACTTTGATGTTCAAAAGAGAAAAAAAATTCAAGTCTAGCCAAATCGTCATCATTTTGGCAGGAGACAAGCCAGTATTTTTTTTTTTTTTTTTTTCCCTTATCTGGTTGCTTGTATAAAATGTGATAGCATGGATCAAATTTTAAAAAATACATTTACTCTTGTAATTTCTATAGTGACGCAAGAAAAATAAATAAATACAGCCATTACCATGGCTGTATTTTAATGACAAATATATTAAAATCGAATATATGGGGAGAGTAAGCAACAAGGAAGTCTTAAAAAAATGGTAACAGAAAGAACATTTATACACAGAATCAGGAAGAGATAGCAGAAATTCCTTGGACAGATAATAAGAAAGGTTGTCTTGGAGAACTTAATACTCACATAGCATATTGAGAGTAAGAGAGATAGGGGAAGGTAATGAGCAACATAACTAATGAGCTTATGCTAATGGGTGGCAGAACATTGGAGTGAAGGGAGAAAAACTGTTAAGAGCCATACAATATAGAAAGTTGTGGATTGTCTAGGTTCTGAAGGGACGTGGCAGATGGGAGAATAATACGTGGACGTGGCAGATGGGAGAATAATACGTGGACGTGGCAGATGGGAGAATAATACGTGGACGTGGCAGATGGGAGAATAATACGTGGACGTGGCAGATGGGAGAATAATACGTGGACGTGGCAGATGGGAGAATAATGCGTGGACGTGGCAGATGGGAGAATAATGCGTGGACGTGGCAGATGGGAGAATAATGCGTGGACGTGGCAGATGGGAGAATAATGCGTGGACGTGGCAGATGGGAGAATAATGCGTGGACGTGGCAGATGGGAGAATAATGCGTGGACGTGGCAGATGGGAGAATAATGCGTGGGCGTGGCAGATGGGAGAATAAAACATGGACGGCAGATGGGAGAATAATGGACGTGGGCAGATGGGAGCAGATGGGAGAATAATGCGTGGACGTGGCAGATGGGAGAATAATGCGGATGGCAGATGGGAGAATAATGCGTGGACGTGGCAGATGGGGAGAATAATAATAATAATAATAATAATGCGGACGTGGCAGATGGGAGAATAATAATAATAAGAATAATGCGTGGACGTGGCAGATGGGAGAATAATAATAATAATGGCAGAACGTGGCAGATGGGAGAAGGAATAATGCGTGGACGTGGCAGATGGAAGAATAATAATAATGGTGGATGGGAGAATAATGCGGAAGAATAATAATAATGCGTGGACGTGGCAGATAGAAGAATAATAATAATGCGTGGACGTGGCAGATAGAAGAATAATAATAATGCGTGGACGTGGCAGATAGAAGAATAATAATAATAATGGAGAATAATGTGGATAGAAGAATGGGAGAATAATGCGTGGACGTGGCAGATGGAAGAATAAAATAATGCGATGGGAGAATAATGGCAGAGGCAGAAGAATAATAATGCGTGGACGTGGCAGATAGAAGAATAATAATAACGTGGCAGATGGGAGGCAGATGGAAGAATAATAATAATGCGGAAAGGCAGATGGGAGAATAATAATAATAATGCGGGCGTGGCAGATGGGAGAATAAGGCAGAATAATAATGCGTGGACGTGGCAGATGGGAGAAGAATGAAGAATAGATGGGAGAATAATCGTGGCAGATGGGAGAATAATGCGGACGTGGCAGAATAATAATAATGCGTGGACGTGGCAGATAGAAGAATAATAATAATGCGTGGACGTGGCAGATAGAAGAAGAATAATAATAATATGTGGACGTGGCTTTAGCTTTATTTTTCACATTAATTATTTGTGGTGGTAACAATAAAATACTGATTAATTGCCAAATAGTGCTGTTTTAGTCTAAAATGTTGGCACTCAACCTGTATGTTTGGCATAGAAAATGATGGACAGGAATTGATAGTGATCAAAAATTAAGACAAGCATTATTGATACAATGAAGCTATTATTTGCTTTTATTCTTCGACTATTTGGTGTTCTTTGGGGGTGAATCAAGGGAGAATAACTTCGTTGACAAAACATTATCCTAGTAATTTTTGTCCACACAAATTTTTAATTGCAATTCAATAATTTTAAATGGCTTTAATTATCTATTATTGTATTTAAAATCTAGGTGATTTTTACGACTACTTTTATCATGACTGTTCAGATAAGTAAAATCAGTGTGTGTATTATATATATATATATATATATATATTTTTTTAAGCATTTCATCCCAAGCAAGGAGGGAAGCCACTAGGACGCAAGGGGTTACAGAAAATTTAGAGCAAGATCAGATAGGAGTGATAGAAGAAAGGATGAGGGTAGTGGATAGATCAAGACAACTGGAGATGTCGATTGACATTACACTTGAATAGCTGGAGATTATAGCTCACAGGGAAACAGGAATAGGGAAGAGAGTTCCACAGGCGAGAGGTGCGAGACATGAAGCTATTGGAGTAGAAGAGATGGCTACATTTAGGAGTTTCGACAGTGAAGGGGTGAGAGCGGGATGCCAGCCTCGTATGGCGCTGGAACTCATGATGTCTGGGAACCACTGAATGCAGTTCCTTGGAGCAATTTCCATGAAAGTATTTGTAGAACAGACAGAGGGAGGCGACAACGCATCTGTGAGAAAGTGACTGTAGACGAGACGCCAGAGCAGGGCCAACTAAATTGCATATCCACCTCTGGAGCCTATCAAGAACCCCAAGGCAAACAGAAGGGGCACCAGACCATATATGGCAGCAATACTCCATGCAAGGGTGAATTGTTGGATCCCTCCATATTTATAAAGATATACAGAATGACATAAATTATACTAATATTGGTCAAAAGAGTCAAATGCATGTGAAACATCATTGACAAATGAAAATCAAACTACACAGTAAAAAAAATACCAGAATTTCTTTTTCTCCACATCTCATTCTCTGATGAAGCTTTAATAAAAGTGAGACCTGTTAGAATAATAAATGTTTCCTATTTGTTCTTTATCTTATTCTGTTGAATTCTGATCCCTATTTGATCCCAAATCATCAAAGATATACTGATATTAAGAGCTCCCAACTGATTCATAAATTACATCAAATTTAACATGGAAATATTTATAAAGATATGCTTAATAAGAGCTCCATATTTATGAAGATATAATTAATATTTAATTTATATATAATTAATAAATTTATAATTTATTAAGATATACTTAACAAGAGTTCCCAACTAACACATAAATCAATTACATGAAACTTAGTATAAAAATAATGAAAATGTGAAAACAGTAGTCAGTTGCTGAAACCTCCTAATGAGTGGACTGAACAATTACAAGAGGTTTTATCTATGAAACTTTGGTGTAGAAGTGATGGATATAACATTAATCAACCAAGTGACAAATTTTATAATTGTATTAACCCTAAAGATATACTTTGACATAATATCAGTTACTTAGTACTTAGCAGTGTTCCTAACCTTGAAATTGAGGTTATTCTTCTCTAGAAGTTCCTCTGTTGTGGTCAAGTATTTCATATGACTACACTAAATAAATATCTACAATTTGGCTAGAATCATTGCACAGATGTGCTCTTGTTGGATTTTTATTGATTTTACTCTGTGTAGCTTTAAATGTTGGTTGGGATGGGGGTGAATTAAGGGGAGAGGGTAATTGTTTGATTAATATGTACTTCAGAAGACTAAGAATATTGCTGTTGAGTGTTTTTTTTTTTTTTTTAGAAAATAGTATTTTGCTAGCAGAAGAAACATTACTTTTTGATCTTGTACATCTCCACAGCAGCTGATATTCAAAGTAGTTATTTAATGAACTTAGGGATTCCAGTACAAATTGAACTTATTACTCAATCATTTCAAGAAGCTCACAAATTAACCCTTACTCCATGCCAAGATATCTACAAAGCCAATAAAGTTGGATGGGATCAGGTTTTCATTTCTATATCTCTTCTCTTCATGAAGAATAAATCATTTAACATTTTATATATAGTGCAATGGATAAATTCTCACCATTTTATATTCTTATTTTCCTGCATACACGTTTATTTTTGATTTTTGTCAACGGCACAATATAGTAGGGTTGGTTTGGCATCATCTACGGGGGGAAAAATAGCACCATGATGCAATCTCCAATACAAACATTTCAGAGTGTTTGGGTGTCAATCTGAGGACAGTGCATAGAATTTGGAAAGAGTTGGATGAGTCTAATAGTGATTATGAAGGTACGGCAGCTCTGGAAATTCACTCTGATCTTCCGATAAGAAAAGAACTCCTGAATTTGTTAGTGAGAGCCTCGGAGTTAATCCTGTCTGGTAACAGGACTCTGCACCATGCTATATAAGCAGGAGAACCCAGTCATAGTAAAATTAATTTCTGCAACCACATCAGTTTTTTCCTCACATCTTTCATTTAGCTCCTCAGACTGCAACCCCTTGATGATTTGTGTGAGGCACAGTGGAGTGAGACCAACAAAACTCCTTGCAAATTCAAAAATGAACTGAAGGCAAGGATTTTACAGCATTCACCAACTTAAACAAGGAGGCTGTCTAAAGAATTATTTACAGTCAAAAAAATTGTAGCTTTGGTCAAACTATTTGTAATTTTTTTTCATAATCCAAAGGGGATAACTTATAAAAATTTAAATAAATTTATCAAATTTGACATAAATATCACCAGATTTATTTATATCCTTGACAATATCATCAAGATTTTTTTGAAAAGAGTTTTTATACTTATGGAAGGTTAATTCTTAGATGATTCCCAGTAGGTCATATTCAAACCCAAACAATTCCTTAATCATTGGTGCTGTCTTTAAACTCTTAAAACCATAGTTTTCATGTTTGTAAAAATGGTCTATCATGAAGAAAAAAGTATGCTTTCCATCTCATTCTTCTGATAAGGTTTTCTGTTTGTTTCCCAGATCCCAAAACTAATCCACTCAGTAAAATATTCAATTATAATACCATTAAATTAAGCTATAGTTCTCCTGATAACCTGGAAAATAAGAAATATAAGAGACTTCAACAAGTATAAGGACTCAAAAAACTTGACTACTTGCCAGGTTGCAATGAGTAAAACTAAGTATAACGACACTAATAATAATTTGTGCAATTGTAGGAATCCTAATAATTGCCATTACAGAATAATTGTTTAACTAGTTCTCTAGTTTATCTGAGTACAATTTCTACACTAGAAAACCCTAAAAAAAAAAAATTAAAAATTTTACATTGGTAGTACTATGAATACATTCAAAGAACGTTGGTGGGGACATGTACCATCTTTCAACGGTAATAATCATAAGTACAAGACTTTATTATCCAAGTATTTTTGGAGTTTAAAGGAGAAAAACAAGACACCTACTGTTAAATGGAAATTAAGAGAGCTTGAACATGTAATTCTCTATATGCCCCTTGTTATTTATGTCTTAATGAAAATTTGAATAAAGACAAGACATCTCTTAAAGGAATGAACTCACTGTTAACTTAAACATAGCTCAAAATTTAACTTACTATAGGGGTAGTAATATTTTTGACGATAAGTCAATGTTACTGTAAGTTTAGTATGTTATTACTTATATTATCTGCTAATCCTATCTATGTACATATATGTAGGTATATGTTTATTATGTTGTTTGTGTCTGCACATGTGTGTATTTTTATAGATAGATGTATATATGTGTATGTGAATTTATAAATATATGCATATATGTATTTGTGTGTATATATATATATATATATATATATTATTTGTACTTGTAGTTATGTTTGTGTGATATGTTTGTATATATATTTTTATTGTATATGTATATGTATTGTTATATGATATATATATATATATATATATATATATATATAATTTGATAGTTGTATATTTGGGTAGCAATCCTTTGTTTATGCATGTTTCATTAAAAACGACAGACAAGGTACTATGGTTAAGCTTTTTAGTTTTTCTTGTATTCAAACAAGAGCTTTCTTTTTTGGACAAAGAGTGTGTAAAAACTGTCCAAAAGTTTTATAGTTCTGAGTGCTTTCGGCTATACCTTTAGCCATTATCAAGGATGGTTCAGTTTTTCAGCTTAATTGAGTGTGTGCATTATGCATATGTTTTTGTGTGTTATAAAGATGTTTTTAATTTCTGAATATGGTTAGCACATTGTAGCCTTGTTCATAGTTGATATTGATTAGAGTTAGCTTTTTCTTTTTTTGTTATTAAAACTATAAAACAGTTTTACACACTCTTTGTCCAGAAAACAAAGCTCTTGCTTGAACACAAGAAAAATTAAATAAAAAGCTTAACCGTAGTACCTTGTCTGTCATTTTTAATGAAGCATATACATATATAATCTTATGTTTTGTTACATTTTAATCTTGTATGGACTTTATATCCTTTATACTCATTTGGCTATTATATTTAGTATATATATATATATATATATATATATATATATATATATATATATATATATTATATGTGTGTATTTTTATGTATTATTCTTAGTTTTGAATGTGTGTACACATACATGTATTTTTATATATGTGTACTCCTGTGTATATAAGTATATATAAGATATTTATATATATTTCTGTGTTTATTTTTTCTTTTTTATATATTAGCTGGTTATATTTTAAATGTTGCATTTTGCCTGGACATTTGAATTTGGTGTTTTTTTTTTGTGTGCGTATATATATATATATATATATATATATAACTATCCATTTATATATATTTTAGTGTCCTTTTTTTCTTTGCGTTGTTCATTGACAAATATTTGTTTTTCTATTCTACCCCTCTTAAATTTTATCTATTGAACCATTTTTATCTATATATCTTTATCTGTCTATTTTGAGATGAAAATTATTCCAACATTATTGGACTATTGTTTTATCTTTGTCACCATATTTTTGGAACGTTTTGAAATTTTTACGCTCTGGCCTTCTTATTTATGGTTGGAATGTCCCTTTTTTTTATTTTGCTCACTGTAGTGAAACTGTTTTTTTTTCAAACGCCATGTTTAATGGATGTCAGTTATCAGTTATCTCCTGTTAATTTTTATTTTTCCTCAAGGACACATGGCACATGGACACAGTGGATAAAGGCATTGGTTAGATCCAGTGACAGGACCCAAAGAGTGTGAGTTCAATACCCGGTTAAGTAGTGAAGAACTTTTAGAGGGAAATTAACAGGAGATAACTGATAACTGACATCCATTAAATTTGTCACGCTCACTAGAACAGTCTACCCTAGTGAGCGAAATAAAGGGTTAAGTTCAACATTCCAACCACCTGAAGAAGGCCAGAGTGTACAACAGCCGAAACATTGTAATAAATATGGCGACAAAAATGAGGACAATAGTCTAAATAATGTAAATAATCTATATATTTTTGTCCATGTAAGTAATATTTTAATAGTCCGAGTTGAATAACATTTTCAAATTTGAATATTTGTGGGTGTGTATATGCATGTATGTGTGTATGATCGTTTATATATGCTTTTCATTGTCGGTTTTTTTTTGTTTTTTTTTTCTTAAGGGATGTGGACATCTATTTCCTGTTTCGTTCGTGTTTTTGCATGTTTATGTATCTAAATATGTCTGTGTTTGTGTATTATGATCTGATGTTATATGTATTGTCTCTTGCAAGATTTCACCCTCCCCTGCCCATATCACCAGTTCAAATGTATCTAAGTTGTAACGAAGATTTACATCCATATTAGGTTTTAACATTTATTCTGAGTTTTTGGCCTTTCAATTAAAACAAAATAAATAACAAAATATATTTTTTTCCTTAGTTTCTTCTTTAAATAATTTTATATTTTAAACTCATTACAGATTAAATTGAAAATTGTAAATTTTTAATTTTCAATTTTATAGTAAAATTTAATATTAATTAGAATGATTTATATTTTAGTCTAACCCTAACATTAAGGCATTAATTATTATAACCAAGGTTCATTGTCAAGTTTTTTGAATTCTCATATACTTGCATTTTGATTGGTCATTGCAGTTTATGTAACAGTGTTTTCCCTAGTGAGGGGTGTTTGGTCAATTTGAACCTTTTAAAACCCTTTATTCTACATTCAACATCATCACTTGATAAGACACCAGAAGTGTTGAAACAAAATGGCTATTTTTGTAGTGATTTTATAACATATTTATGTTATAATTTTCAAATAAATTTATATATATATATATATATATATATATATATATATATATATAATAAGAAAATTTTCCACAGCTAAAATTTATTTGGGCTAATATTTTTATAATTTTGAAATATTTATATATTTAAACTTTGTGATATTTTTGAAGAATTAATTTTTTTTTTTTTTTTTTTAAGTTTTTGTATCAAATTGCAAAGGATTTATTTTTAGCTGGATGTAATGGGTTATTTAAAATAGACACTTCATTTTTATTTTCAGCTAACAAAATTGAGCTCAGAAGATAATCCAGAGGCTGTTGAGCCAACTCAAGAAGTTCTGCAGGAGGATTCGGAGGTTGGTGAAGAATAAATATGGAAGAATTATTGCTTTGATCCTTGAATTCCAAGAAAAAGCAAAACACTTATTTTGGTTTTTTTTACAGTTATCCACTAAAAATCACATTGCTCTGTAATAATAAATAAATTGCATAAATTATTAAACTGTTTAAATCTTTTCTATTTTTTTATAAATGTATTGTTGTACATGCTTAATGATATTGCTTTTTTGAATGTGAAAATTGCTTTTTTTTTAACTGTGGTCTTTTTTGAATTGTAGATTCAAACCAAAAATTTTAATGTTTTTTTCATGGATTGTAATATCACCTTTTGTGTATTCTACAATGCAAAGGAAGATGAGGACATTAGTGTCCTCTGCCAGAAAAGGTTATTATTTATTGACCATTCTTTTAAAAGAAAACTTATATTTTATGTAATAAAATTGATAAACTCATTTGTAAGATTTATTTACATTTTTTTCATTTGTTTTCAAATGTGTTTAACATTTTGGCTTTTGACCTGCTTTATTCAGGTAGCTGTCAATCCAGGTAACCTTCAAGGAATTTCAAACTAAATCCTTTATTTAATCTTTCCAAGGGTAGATTTTTCTTTCAATTGATTACTGCTCAGTTATTAAAAACCTGATTTTCACTGAGCCTGTACATGCCATTAATTATAAGGGATTGAATTCAAAATTACTATACAGCCAAATTCACAATCCACTGGGTTATTATCCCATGGGAAAACCGTGAACCTAGAACTTGGAGCCTTAGCCTTCTGAAGAAGACCAAAGGGCATAATGGCCAAAATGTTAATAACACAGATGAGGACATCAGTTCAACTGTAGATAAAAACTTCTCATCACAGAAATTTGGACAGAATGTTATTTCTCAAAATTTAATTTCCTATTTGATTAAATTAGCATGACTATCAATGAAATATTGTAAATTATTAATGCAAATCAACATTATCATTAGTTTTTTTTTTGTTTTTGTTTTGTCTTTTTTTTTTTTGTTTTTTTTTTTTTTTATATGAACTTTGATAAACACGCCATTCAATAGGACATAGTGTTAGGAAAAGATTTTTTCTCATGAACAATATTTTTTTTTTAAAACATTTTAAATCTTTGCAATGTTTGTTTTAAAAAGCAATGATTAGAATTGTAATAAAACTTAAACATATAATGAAAGTTAATTTATACATTCTTTTGTCTTGAGAATTTGCTATAAAATTATTAAGCCCTATTTATTAGATTGTTTTTTTACAATATTCTAAAATTGAATACAATTAGAATTAATGCAATATCTATATTTCACCAGTTTATAAAATAAATGTGAAAACAATTTTTACTCATGAATTTATAAAAATTTACTAAATTATTAAAATATATGAACCAACTATAAGAAAATCCTTATTATTTACCATTTTGTAAAGTTTGAATCAGTGGCAACCATTCCTATTAACAATCTAATAGTGTTTGTTATTTTTGTTGTAAATTCTCAAGAACAAGATATAAATTCACTTTCATATGTTTTAGGTTTTATTACAATTCTAATCATTGCTTTTTAAAAGTATAAACATTGCCGAAGAGTGAAGGTAGTTAAAAAAGTTGAAGTGGTGTCAATATGGAGACTGTCCTTTTGAAAATAACTTTATTGCAGGCATGAAGTCCATGTTTACCCTAATTTTATTTTTGTTGTATGCTTGTCAATGTTGCCTTTTTAGAAAGAAAAATTGGCATGTCTTGTTCAACATCTGCAGTAGTAATCCTTATCTCTTAAGATGTAATTTGTTTTAATGGATTAGCTGATTATAATCTGTCTGCTTGGTTGTCTAGAAACAATTTTGTATCACAACCTGCACTGAAAAATGAAAACACAGGCTTTTTTTAATTTTAGAAGTAGCCAAAATTTTACACATCCAATTTCATTAATCTGCAATTTCCTCTGCATGTTCCTTCTATTGGTTTTTTTTTTTTTTTTTAACTCTTGTAATATATGGTTGTCAGCAAAAGGAACAATCCAACATGCAAATTACAAATTGGAGATACCAAAATCGAGCAAGTACAGCTATTTAGATATCTGGGAAGTGTTTTAACAGAGGACAGAAAGTGTGACACTGAAATCAGGAACATTAGAATAGTGAAAAATGCATTTCAAAAGCTAAGCAAAGTATTAAGAAACAGAAAAATTTTGTTAGAAACAAAGTAGAGTACTAAACTGTTATCTAATATCAGTCCTCCTGTACTGCAGTGAATGCTGGACAATATCATCGCAGATGAAGAAGAGACTTGAAGCAACAGACATATGGTTCTACAAGAGGATGCTGAGAATACCATGCACTGAACATGCGTGCAACAACAAAGTTTTAGGGAAAATGGAAACAAAAAAAAAAAGTTAAATTTATCAGAAAAAGATTTCTGAAATTTCTAGGGGATATAATAAGGAAAGAAGGCTTGGAAAATCTGACACTCACAGTACAAAAACAAGAGAGATAGGAAAACAACGTATAGCCTACCTAACAAGATGGTGTAAATGCTAGGCAGAACAGGGTTTAGTAGAGATAACAAAAAGACAAAATTTACTGAGAGATACAAAGGACAGGAAATTGTAAAGAACCATGATCACCTGTAACAACATAGATGATTACCTGATAATTTAACAATCTGATAACTTAATTTCACTATATCAGGAAATATTGTATAAGGGAAGTAATCATGTTATTTGCATGTTTCCTCTGTATAACAGGCTTGAAAACTTCCAAAATCTGTTGTCATAAAATCAAAGATTATCAAGAAAGTTTTGCATTAATAATTTTTTTATTAACTTGAAGCAGAACAGTAATGTTTTCAGAGGAAATAGTAGTTATTCTCAAGATAGTTGTCAGATTTACTAGGAAGCAATAAAAGCCTAGAGATTGTTATCAGAATATGATGTGATAGGAAGTACTTATTTAACCCTTATTGGTTGGGCTGAATTTTTTTAACCAAAGTGTTCACACACACATTTATATATATATATATATATATATATTTTTAAATATATTATAACATCCTTCTATACAGGAATCCACATGTCTGTTACCAAAAATTTTGTTTATAGTAACACAAACACAAAAGTTTTTTATATATATATATATATATATATATATATATATATATATATATAATATATCTGTTTCTAATATATATATATAGTGTTCTTATAGATATTTTTATTTTGCAACAAAATAGTGCTCAATGTAAATTTCAGAGCACTAATATTATAAATTAATTGATTTAAAATATGGTTTTCCACTACACAGTTCTAACCATGTTTCAAAAATGGAAGCTAAAAGAGAATTTAATTTTGTAATTAAATTTAAAGAGGATACAGGAATTTCAGGTTCAAGCGGAAATTTTGGAGTAACTTGTGTAAATATATGGCAAAAAAGTGGGAAAAAATCCTAATATGCAATTATGCTGTTTTAATGTTAATATAATGTCAGAGCCGGACGTTTCGGTCTAGTAGACCATAAATGAAGAATACACACATATATATTATAATTATAAATATATATATATATATATATATATATATATATATATATATATATGCAAAAAAAAATGGATAGGAAAAAAAAAAAAATGTAACTAGTCTTTAAGAATATTTATTTAGAGTAATTTTTGCTGATATCACAGTTCTATGATTTTCATTGAAAAACTGATTCCCATATGATCACTGAAACCAAGCAATGTCAAGTTTTTCCTTACCTGCATAGATGGATGACTGCTTGGGAAAATGCTTAATAAAGTATCAATAATTTGGATGTTCACCTAGGTGTAAGGATAATGGATTGGATTTTGTTAATCAAAAAGTTGAGTTCAAATTCCAGTTGGGTTCATTATATTAATTTACATAAATACTTTTGGGAAAGGTCATATGAATGTCATCTATTCTCCTCCCAGCTATGGGTTAATTAGTAAAACTTGGATCACTAAAACCATTATTATCTCAAAAAAAAAAAAAAAAAAAAACTTAAAATCTAAAAATATTTTCTGGCTTGAAATAACCTGCAACAGGTTGATGAGCCATAGAAAATGGACCAATGAATTAAATTTTTGAAGATAGTAGGTGGCAGGGAAGTGAGAAAACAGTTCTATGAAGTTTGAGAAAAGAAACTGTTAGAACAGAACTGGTGATTGCAACTAGCTTATTCAAAAATGAGACCTAGTTGCTAATCTAACAGCATGCATATTCATGTAATTGAGTCACTAAGGAAAAAAGCTCATCAGAACAATGACCATGAAAATATTTGTAGAAAAGACCAACTTAAAATAACTTGAACTCATTTGTATTAGTAGTAAGTCAATACTAAATTTACTAGTTCTGGGGTTTCAAATATAGTCTGTCATCTGTCAAGCATACATTTCCTTCATCAAAACTTAACTAAATTAGTTTTCAAGTCACATAAGATAATGATACGGCAATAATAGAAACATCAAGTTAGAAAATTTCAGTGGTTTATACCAGTGATTCTCAAACTTTTTTTTTTCTTTTTTTTCTACCCATGTACCACTTTTACTATATATTTTTTTCTTGGTAGACATGTAATAACCATTCGATAAAAAAAAAAAGAAAGTATTTTATTTTTTTCTAATAGATAAGTTTAAGAATTGTATTATAGAAATAGTAAATGTATATACTTCATTTTAAAGTAAAACTAATGAAAATAATCTTGTATTTAACAACTAAATTCTACAGAACACTTATGTATACTAGTATTGGGAAATCCAGAAAGTTCATGCTGATTTTAAAAGGAAATTAAAATGAAACAAAATTCCTAGAACACTCATGAAGAATGAAAAACTGAGAATCTTGGACATGATTTTTAAAAATATCTGTAAATGCCAAAATATAATGTAAAATATAATAAAATAAATGTAAGTAAATATATAATAATAATAATAATAATGTAATAAAAAATACAATAAAAAGTACAGTTACTCACCAATAATGAATGATATCAATTAAAGATGAT